TATTCTTCTACCTCATTACCCAAGCAAAGCAGGCTATAGACATTCATCTGTTTGTTCAGCAAATATTTACTGAGCATCTCCTCTGTGCTAGGCACTTTGCCAGGTAGGGAATACAATGTTGAGTAAAAATGAAAAGGCCTATATCCTTCAAAATATGATTACAGATAGTTTTGTGAGTCTAGAAATATTGTCATTGAGTTCCCAAATGACCAATCTTTTCTTATTTTTTCTCTAAATTCACACAACTCCTAGTGTAGGATACCAAACTCATAGAGTGGCAATATGAGTGTGGACCATCGTTTGAAAGACGGAGAAAGATAGGGAACTTGAAGATCATCTACTGTTTTATCTGAGTTGCAGATTTGTTCTCTGCTGTTATTCCTACAAGATGTTTTTTCTTCTTCTTTGAAAGTTCAGGAGTTGCTTTGAGTAGTGGGGAGAAGGAGCATATGGCCACCACAATACACAGACCTAGAAAAGGCTGGCAGTTCACTCCCACTTTTTCTGTTGTAATTGGAGTTAGAAAGCAGGTGGCTGGCACTTAATCATCAAAGGAAAGTCTTTTATAGGAATGACAGAATTTCCGTCACACAAAAATTCTGAAACTCAAGATCTAGATGAAAATAAAACTTTGAAGGAAAATCAGAGCTATACTAAATCTTTATCCTTCCTGCCGCCCACCAAATCTGTTTTATTCATAAAATTCTTCTCAGTCCATATGAATCCACCAAAACCACTGCCTGTCAAGTTGGTTCCAACTCATAGCAACCCTGTAGGACAGAGTAGAACAGCTTTATAGGGTTTCCAAGGCTGTAAATCATCTCAGAAGCAGACTGCCAACTCTTTTTCCCTTGGAGTGGCTGGTGGGTTTGAACCACCAAACTTTTGGTTAGCATCCAAGTGCTTAACCACTGCACCACTAGGGCTCCTTTACATGATTCCAGAACATATACATAAAATGTGAAGCATTCATTCAGTCATCTTGGTGCCTTGCCTATTTGATGGCAAAATTGTGGAAATAGGGAAACATTTTTATTTTGTGTCATGTAGATGAGATATGAAGATAAAATCATAGTGGTAGAAGAGATTTCAAAGATTACTTCATTTAACTCCTTATTTTTCAAAGGAGAAACTAAGGCCACTTGCCCAGTATCACATGGTAAGTTTTGACAACAATAAAGCTAGAATTCAGGAATAATTTTCCTAATGTGGAAAATATGGAAGTCTTTTAGAGTAATGACAGAATTTCCTTCATACAAAACCCTACTGCTTCTAAATCCTACTGCCATTCATGATGGCCTGGAGTTTTCAGGTTTTTATCCAGTAGCATGGGCTCATGTAGACCAAGCTTTCAGGCCATACCCTCCATCTTCTAGGATGTTTAATAAGATTTTACTGAACAGAAACAATATTTGTTCATAAAAAGACAACTATCTAATGGAAACGAACCATAGAGTTCTATAGCTTTTACATATCTTCAACTATATACCGTTTGTCATAGTGAAACACCAGCCTTACACTCTTTTAGAAGTGAATGCAAGAAGTTTTATTGTGGAGGAGAGAGATTCGTGAGTTGGGATACACCATAGCACCCAAGGCAGGGTACAACGGTGTTCCAAAATGTGAGAGGACAGTGAAGTTTTTAATCAGATGGAGTAAACAAAGGCTATGTGCTTGCAGGCATGAAGGGGTACATGGCAAAAAGTGACAAGAGGTGTCATTAAGCTACAAATCTTCTTAATATTCTGTTTTCTAACCTCCGGGAGCACATGGACTAAGACATTCCTCCTGGATCAGGCTGCACAAACATTCCTGACAAACATCTTTTAACAAACAATTCCTTGTACAGGCTAAAGTCTTGACCTTTACTCCTTTCTGTGTTACAAGCAGTTAAATGTTTACAAGAAACTGAATTGTCTTTTTGGAACAGCAGGAGCAGGGACCTTTAGGTTAAGCTGCAGTTTAATTCAAAATGGAGTTTAATTTAGATCTGGGCCAGCCATCTCAGTCATGCCAAGCACCTTGGTTTTGGGGTCCACATACAAGTTTCATAGTTCAGCTTGTCTGCACAAAATCCAAAGCTGCAATTTCATCAACAGTGAACACTCTTTTGTTTTTAAAGTTCTCATATGTTTTTTGTTTTAAGGAAGCAAAATAGAGGCAGGAGGCCAAATACAGTGACCTCTTTATGAACTAGGATGCTTTATGGCTCATCTTAAGTATAGAACCGGTTGCTGAGGAGTTGATTCCGACTCATGGCAACCCCATGTATGTCAGAGTGGAACTGTGCTCCACAGGGTTTTCAATGTCTGATTTTTTGGAAGCAGATTACCAGGTCTTGCTTACAAAGTGCCTCTGGGTGGACTCAAGCAGCTGAGTGTCTTAACTGTTTGCACCACCCAGGGACTCCAGTCTTAAGTATGTTGTTGTTAGGTGCTGCCAAGTCAATTCTGACTCATAGTGACCCCATATGACAGAGTAGAACTGCCCCATAGGATTTTCTAGGCTGTAATCTTTATGGAGGAGCACTGGTGGCACAGTAGTTAAGTTCTCACAGTGGTTAAGCTCTTGGCTGCTAACTGAAAAGTTGGAGGTTCAAATCCACTAGCTGTTCCATGGGAGGAAGATGTGGCAGTCTGCTTCCATAAAGATTACAGCCTTGGAAACCCTATGAGGTCGTTCTGTTCTGTCCTATAGGGTCGCTATGAGTCAGAATTGACTCCATGGCAGTGGTTTTTAATCTTCATGGGAGCAGATTTCCAGGTCTTTCTCCTGCAGAGCTTGTCAGTGGGTTTGAATGGCCAACCTTTTGGTTAGCTGCTGAGTGCTTAACTGTTGTGCCACAAGGGCTCCTTATCTTAAGTATAGTGATAACTAATGTCCAGAATGTTGACATGCCTTGGTACATGTTTGTTTCCCTTTCTCAAATATCTTTCTCATGTTGTTTTCCTTTTAAATGATGGTGCTCGCTACCTGTATGTAATTTAATATTTCAGTAAAATCATTTTAAGCTCTATCCTACATATGGGGAAACTTTGTACCTCTCTCACTATTTCTGAGGATTTTTGGGGGGCTATGTTTCTCATAGTCACTTCTGACTTCAGTTTTTTCTGATGCTAAATTTATGATCCCTGCCATGCTGTTCCTTTCCTGCATTTGCACCATGGCACTTCATAAAACCATCCCATTCTTATATTTCCCCAAAGTGCTATGGACCCAAGAGTTCTATGTAACAAATTATCCCAAAACTTAGTGGCTTAAAACAACAACATGTAAATGTTTTTATTATTTCATACCATTTCTGTGCATCAGGAATTTGGAAATAGCTTAGCTGGATGATTCTGGCTTGGGGTCTCTCAAGAGGTTGCATTTAGGGTATCGGCCAGGACTGCAGTCATGGCTGGAGGATTCCCTTCAAAGATGACTCACTCATGTGGTGCTGGCAGTTGGTCTGAGGCTTCAGCTCTGAATCCGTGGATTCCTCTTTTCTCATATAGACAGATTCAGCCTTCTTTTTGTCTTTAGCCATTGTGATCATGCCCTGAGGACTTGACCTTTTCTCTAAGTGGAATAACCCATGGATGTTTTGAACTATGAGTCGAAACGTGGGCAGTGGGTTTGGTTTTTTTTGGAAGTGGAGAAAGCCCTATGAAAATGTAAATTTCTGTATTTTATAGGTATACATCACAGACTTAACTCTGATGGTTTAATGTTTAGACATGAAAGAAAGGCAAAGTATTACTTTTACAAAGACAAAAGTTTCAATTTCTAACTTTAATTTTCTAGAAAAATTGCAGCATCTCTTGAGAAATTTCTAATGATGGGAATTAGAAAAAGCCCTACTCAGCAAAGTAGATTAAAAAAACCCAAAAATCCGAAAACTGTTATGTTTGGGGGAAAATTAATAGTTTTAATATAGTCTTAGTTGTAATGAATGTAAGTGCTTGTTTTAAAAAAAAATAAAAAACCTATAATCTTCCAATATTTATTCAATAAACTTAGCTTGGAGCCCTGGGGGCGAAGTGCTTAAAAGACCTAGGCTGCTAACCAAAAGGTTAGCAGTTTAAATCCACCAGCCGCTCCTTTGAAACCCTATGGGACAGTTCTGCTCTGTCATATAGGGTTGCTATGAGTTGGAATCGACTCAACGGCAACAGTGTTTTTTTTGGTTTTAAGTATAGCTTTGGTTCTTTCAAAACGTTTTTTTTTTCCTACAAGTACACTTACTCATATTGCTTAATTTATCAACTTTTCCTAGTTCTTAAATTTGAAACATGAAAGTTTTGTCTACAGTTTTTATAGTTGCAAAGAATAAGAAATGATGTAGGCATTTTAATTTTAATTTTTCATTTTAATTTTAATTGAAATTCATGTATATACTTTTAAAGTCCTGAATGTAACTGGTATTAGGTAATTTATGATGATATTTAATAAGTTTTAAAACACATGTAAGAGGTTTTTTGAATGAATGTGTAAAATTTACTTTCTATGTCCTGGATATTTTACTTTTTTTTTTTTTAAGGAGAAAAGCTACTCTTTTGAGGTTATTTCTTTTTTTAAATTTTTTTATTGTACTTTAGATGAAAGTTTACTACATTTTATTATTTCTATAGTCATTTGAGTATTTAATTATTGGAGGAATTTAGAGAGACTATTGTAAATGTGACTTCAAGGGTAGTTTATTTCAAGTAGGTGTTTTAAGAAAAACAATGAACTTAGTACTTGAACTATGTGTATCCTTTTCTAGGAGCTTCAAGTTAAATCAGCTGCACAATTCAGCAGGGAAAAATGAATTGGGTTATCCATGTCTCAAAAGTACGAAGAAATAGAACAGCCTCTGTTACCTACCACCTCTGAGCATGAAGTCAAGGAGATTATTTTACTTATGGTTTAATTTAAAGGGGCTTACGTCCAAGAAATGTATATATGACAATCTGATGTGTTTTATTTTTCTGCAGGGCTCAATTACTGGAATTGTCAACTCTGCCAATTTATGTGCACATTTCTCTTCCACTATGAGCAGACCAATTGTATTGCACATTTGTCTGGCTTTCTGTAGCCTCCTGGTTCTCAACTTTTCTGCACAATGTCTGGCCTTCCCCAAAATGGAAAGGAGAGAGATAGCACATATTCACACGGAAGAAAGGCGGTCTGAGAGGATGGACATAGAGGACCTAGAAAATAACTCCAAAACTTCAAAACAAATGCCCCAGCTGGTGGTCTCTGAAGATGCTATGGTAGTGTCAAAAGGACCCTCAGCAGCATCATTAAATAAAGTACTCCCTATTAATGAAGGTATCCATCCTGTAGGAATGAGGCCCACACAGCCTAATGGCCCTGGTGTTTATACTCCTACCGAGTCAGTGGTCCCAGCCGGTGAGGAACTATTTGGTTCCAGCCAGCCAGAGAGAATGTCTCCTGAAAGCAAACTTTCTAAAGCCATGTTAGCCACCACTGTCACTGCAACTGCTCCTCTGGATATTGATGAGAAGGAGGAAATCTTTAGCAGTACCAACATTCTGCCCATTGTAGAAGGGACCACAGAAGCTGGTTTTCTAAAGTATTTGGATGGCCAGTTATTTGCAACTGAAACTCAGGAAGAAGTTAATCTGGATCACTCACCTTTATCCTATGTGAATACTAAAGAAATGCTGACCACCAATCTGAGGACCGAGAAATTTGAAGCAGCCACAGAGCGTAGGGCAACTTCTCTTCCTGGTACTGAGCCCACAGCAGGCACTGAACCTGAAAGCCTCACACTGGATAGAGAGAGGCCTTCACAGACGACAGCTGATAATACCCAGGCTACTGCCACCAAGCACTTGCTTGCAACCTCTGAGGATGCTCTGAATGTTGAGCCAGAAACTGACAGCCTGCCTGGAGCCCCAGAAGTCACAGCCAGTGTCAGGACAGCTGTTCCAACCACCTTTGTCTTAAGTGATGAGTGGGATGACACCAAATTAGAAAGTGTAAGCCAGATAAGGGTGCCAAACCTTGGAGACAACACAGAGACTCAGGTGAGAATGAAAACGTCTCAGATAGCACAAGTCACCCATGATGGTATGGAAGGCGCTGAGCCTTTGACAGGGGCTGCAGATACGGCTCTGAGGCTGCCTGAAGGGGAAACACACACAGGAACTGCCCTGCTAATGGCACATGGGGATGAGAGATCCGCTGCCTTTACTGATCAAAGTTCCTTTACTCCCATGAGTCCGATGGAAGATGTGAAAGTTTCGGTTGTAAACCTGTTCCAAAATACAGCAAGCTTCACGGGATCCACCATGGAAAAGGATGCCATGTTTTCCTTAGAGACCACTGTTTCCATCTCAGGATATGAGTCTGAGGCGTATCAACCATTGGGAAACACATTTAAAGGTAAACAACAACAACAACAACAAAAAGAGAAAAAATAAGAAAACAAGCTTTGTTTAATATGGAATGGTTCAGTTTGGTTTTGTTTTTTTTTAAGTGACAAGCAAGAAATAAGTCTGACAGATTTTTAAAAATTTTTAAATTTATTTTTATTGTAATTCTGATGAAGGTTTACAGAACAAACTAGCTTCTCATTAAACAGTACACATATTGTTGTATGACATTGGTTAACAACCCCATGACATGTCAATACTCTCCCTTCTCGAACTTGGGTTCCCTATTACCAGCTTTCCTGTCCCATCCAGCCTTCTAGTCCTTGCTGCTGGGCTGGTGTGCCCCTTTAGTGTCGTTTTGTCCTATGGGTCTGTCTAATCTTTGGCTAAAAGTTGAACCTCAGGAGTGACTTCATGACTGAGCTGAAAGGGTGTCCGGGGGCCATACTCTCGGAGTTTCTCTAATCTCTGTCAGGCCAGTAAGTCGTGTCTTTTTTTGAATTAGAATTTTGTTCTACATTTTTCTCCAGCTCTATCCAGGACCCTCTATTGTGATCCCTGTCACAGCAGTCAGTGGTGGTAGTTGTACTGGACTCAGTCTGGTGCAGGCTGTGGTGGTTGTGGTCTATTAGTCCTTTGGACTAATCTTCCTCATGTGTCCTGGACTAAGTCTGGTGGAAGCTGTGGTAGTTGTGGTCTGTTAGTCCTTTGAACTAATCTTCCCCTTGTGTCTTTAGTTTTCTTCATTTTCCCTTGCTCTTGAAGGGGTGAGACCAGTGGAGTATCTCCAAAGGCCGCTCACAGGTGTTTAAGACCCCAGACACTACTCACCAAAGTAGAATGTAGAACATTTTCTTTACAAACTGTATTATGCCAGTTGAGCTAGATGTTCCCTGATACCATGGTCCCCACAGCCCTCAGCCCAGTAATTTGGTCCCTCAAGGAGTTGGGATTTGTCCATGGAGCTTCTTTGACCTTACCCTGACCAAGTTGTGCTGGCTTTCCTAGTATTGTGTACTGTCTTACCCTTGACCAAAGTTACGACTTATCTATTGTCTATTTAGTGTTTTCCCATCCCTACCCCTCCCCTCCCTCGTAACCATCAAAGATTGTTTCTTTTTGTGTGTAAACCTTTTTGTGAGTTTTTATAGTAGAGGTCTCATACAGTATTTGCCCTTTTGTGATTGACTTATTTTACTCAGCATAATGCCCTCCAGATTCATCCATATTGTGAGATGCTTCACAGATTCATCATTGATCTTTATTGTTATGTAGTACTCCATTGCGTTTATGTACCAAAGTTTGTTTATCCATTCATCTGTTGACGGGCATCTAGGTTGTTTCCATCTTTTTGCTATTGTGAACAATGCTGCAGTGAACATGGGTGTGTATATGTCTATTTCTGTGTTGGCTCTTCTCTAGGATATATTCCTGGGAGTGGGATTGCTGGATCATATGGTATTTCTATTTCTAGCTTTCTAAGGAAACGCCATATCATTTTCCAAAATGATTGTACCATTTTGCATTCCCATTGGCAGTGCATAAGAGTTCCAATCTCCCTGCAGCCTCTCCAACATTTGTTATTTTCTGTTTTTTTGATTCTTGCCAGTAATGCCAGGGTGAGATGGTATCTCATTGTGGTTTTGATTTGCATTTCTCTAATGGCTAGTGATC